AAGTAGAGTGAGTGCTATGTAAAGTATGTAAGACTGATCGAAGGGTTGCAATAAATTTGGTATTGAAGTGGAAGAAGTATACGTAGATCTTCAGTTTGGGCTATGAATCTAAACAGTTGGGACTTTGCCAGGTCTTGGATCACTAAGAATCTGATGAAAGCTGTGGGACCACTCCTCAAGTACACATATACACAGCTGAACACAGAAGTCTTTGTGTAATTTTAGCAGGTTCTTGGTCCCTCTCAAGGCTCATCATGGCTACCCAAAGGACCCTAAAGACTTGCAGACAGCTATAACACAATGTTAAGTATTTGTGTATTTAAATATAGCAAAAGTACAGTAAAAATACAGTATTATATTTTTATATTTATTATATCTTTGCTACAGATATTCAGAAAAGATATTCTTTCATTCCATTAAGATTTAGTAGGCTGGGCATAGTGGCTCATCCTTATAATTCTAGCACTTTAGGAGGCTGAGGCAGGTGGATTGCTTGAGACCAAGAGTTTGAGATCAGCCTGGGCAACGTGGTGAAACCCCGTCTCTACTAAACATACAAAAAATTAGCTGGGTGTGGTGGCACATGCCTGTAGTCCCAGCAACTCAGGAGGCTGAGGCACAAGAATTGCTTGAACCCTGGGGACAGAGGTTGCAGTGACCTGAGATCATGCCACTGCACTCCAGCCTGAGAAATAGAGTGAGACTTCGTCTCAAAAAAAATAAATAAGAATAAATAAATAAATATTTGGGGGGATGGGATGCAAGTGAAAGGAGATACTAGATTATATACTTAAACTAAGTGACCATTTGGCCTATAATTGGCCAGATAATAACAAGCTTATGAACTAGCAAGAATACTGGATTGTTCTAATGAACACAGGACTGATTTATTAAGTAGATTCCTTAAATCTTAACATAATGTGCTGGGCTTTACTGGACTGTGTGTGATGGCAGTTGGTCATTCAGCAAGCTGAATCTTCCTGCACACTTTACACACACACACACACACACACACACACACACTCTTCAACCACCAAATGAACTGAATAAACTAATAAATATTATTTCAGCCTTCAGCTTTCCCTAGGAAAAAAATGGCAATCTAGAAATTCTAAAGAGCTAAGATACCAATTCCTTTCAATTATGATAAACTCTAATCTGCTTGAAAATACTCTGGGGACACACTTCTACTCTTCTTACCATAAGAGAAAGACAGGGGAAAATTGTTCACAGAAAGAAAAAAACCCAAAAAACTGAAATTCTTTTCCATTAAGCAATGGTAAGGTCAGAAATATGCTGAAATAAACAGCTTTAGCCTAATTTTCACCAGAAAAAAAGTTGGGAAAAGTTCCCATTTCTCTAAGTAAGAGAGAATGTAATTCAGGTTCTTTGGAGTAAATAGAATATTACCTATAAACTCAATAATAAAGAGCACTAAACAACGGTATTCTTCATAAATCTCAGCTTATCAATATGTGGATGAAAAAGGACTAAGTAAAGACACGATCTTATTTTATTTCTAGGAAAATAACTAATTAGGGTAACCAAGTAGGGTCTAACCATTAAGTCAGGTGAGCTAAGAGGTAAAACAGATATTATTTAAACCAATTAAGTTTGTGGCAGTTGAATACATAGGAAATTTTAATATACATGGTTTCTTCCCCTGAAATCAGCATACACCAAAATGGGAAATACTCATCCATAACATTAGGTATATACATTATCTTGGGGGATTTCAGGCCCTTGTAAATTTTCTATTCTCTTCTTAAAGCTGAAGAAAATATGCTCAATGAATGTAGCCAAAATGAACTCAGAGAGCAATTAACTTTCATCAAATTAGAAAATGTAATTAAACTTCTCTTTAATTTCTGGACAAGTCAATTTATTCTTTAGAGTGTATGTGATATGGATTGGCTCTGTGTCTCCACCCAAATCTCATACTGAATTATAATCCCCAATGTTGGGGGAGGGACCTGGTGGGAAGGGATTTGATCATGGAGGCAGATTTCCTCCTTGCTGTTCTCATGATAGTGAGTTCTCACAATAACTGGTTGTTTGAAAAGTACGTAGCACTTCCCCATTCACTCTCTTCTGTCGCCATGTGAAGATGTGCTTGCTTCCCCTTCACGTTCCGCTATGACTCTAAGTTTCCTAAGGCCTCCCCAGCCATGGCTCCTGTACAGCCTGTGGAACTGTGAGTCAATTAAAACTCTTTTCTTCATAAATTACCCAGTCTCAGGCAGTTCTTTACAGCGGTATAAGAATGGGCTAATATGTATACCTTATATGTCTAGAAATAGAAAAAAACCCTCAGCTTTTATTAAAATATTAATTTTACTTGTATTGATCTAAAGCTAAAAATTTCACTCTGAGGTTGGGAAAAATATACAGTGGAACACATATCAAACTCAAAATTTCACTAAAGACAAACACAGTAATGAATGAAAGATAGCAGATGGCTTATTTCATCTGGTTTTCCATCACCAAGCTCATAAAAAGTTTTCTGAAGCAGAAAAACACAAATGTACTGGATATTAAAATAAACTCGATTCTGTGCAAAATAAAAGGTCAATGAGAAGGATTCTCAATATCAGATGCACAGATTTCTACCAAGATTTTGTGTCTATAGGATTGAAGAATTACCTTTAGTTCTTCTATGGACTGGTAGTCATTGTTCTTGATCTTTTCTTTCATGGTACTAAAATCCATTGGGTGTTTAATGATCATGGAGTAGCCGGGAGCAATAAAATCAGTCACAGGAAATGAAAAGAAAGCACTTGGATCTTTTCTGTGAAGATATGCAAAACAGAATGTTATATTTTATTTTATTACAAATAAATCTATTGGTCTAGGAGCAGAAGTCAGTGGAAGCTCTTCAGATGCAGAAAGAATTTGTAGTAGTAAGTTAACGTACTTATAACTTACTGAAGAAATGGTTTTAAAGACTATTAACTATTTACTAACAAGAATGTTTTATATACTAGTTGTATGTACCCTTAGAATGGAGACTCTTTCTTTCAAAATATTCAGCCTCATTAATAGCGCCTCCTACACAGGAAAAATGAAGCAAAATAACCTCAACTAACTGACCAATGTTTTAACCTTTGGGAGATTAGTACTGCATATTTTTAATCAACCAAAGGGGAAAGGGCCCAAGTAATAATTATGAACAAACATCTACAATTCTCCATATTAATTTCTAATAGGCTTGCATTTCTAGTCCATGTATGTCTATTTTCTCCATCATTGGATATAACTTCTATCATGTATATGTGGGGGATGCTAAAAAAAACACTGACATTAAAAAGGTCCTCTTAATACCCCCAAATACGTGCCAAGACAGAACTGGACCAAAAAAACCCCAAAATCAAAAACCCAAATTTGAAAACCAGTGCTTTTCATCACAGATTCTCAACTCTGGCTGTACATCAGAATCATACAGGAGAGTTAAAAAAAAATTCCAATTTGGGGAAGAAGTGGAAGGAAGACTCACCCTAGACTCGTTGTATCAGGATCTCGAGGAAGAAGGTCCAGGCATTGATATGTTCACGGTTGAGTGCCACACTGGGATTTGACTATTTGGCATTTTTATTTCCAGTATTGTCAGGGTTGAGAATCAGTGCTTTATATGGTTAAATCATTATGGTGATATTTCCCCCCTCTGGAAATCTGGTATACAAAAGTTTTCTTACTCCATATAATAACACCAAAAAAAAAAAAAAAAAAAAAAAAAAAAGGTTAAAAAAAGGGTTTGGCTGGGCATAGTGGCTCACACCTGTAATCCCAGCACTTTGGGAGGCCATGTGGGCAGATCATGAGGTCAAGAGATCAAGACCATCCTGGCCAACATGACGAAACCCCGTCTCTATTAAAAATACAAAAATTAGCTTGGTGTGGTGGCATGTGCCTGTAGTCCCACCTACTCAGGAGGCTAAGGCAGCAGAATCACTTGAATTCGGGAGGCGGAGGTTACAGTTAGCTGAGATTGCCTCACTGCACTCCAGCCTGGTGACAGAGAGAGACTCTGCCTAAAAAAAAAACCCAAAAAAACAAAAAAAAAAAAGGAAAAAAAAATTTAATGACAAATTTTAGAATGTATTTGCCATGTTGCTAGTTCCAGTGGTAGGCACTTGACATATTTTCTATCAAATCATCACAAAAGCCATCAAAGTGATGGTATCCTCATTTATAAATAGTCAGTCAGGACCTATACATCAAAATGTGCGCTGTCCACAGGAGTTACTGTAACAGCAGCATTCATCTCTGGGTTGCCTCCTGCAGCTACCCTTTGGAGGAAATTATCTAACTCCTAGGTCAGTCATTTTAATACAGAGCCCTATATAGTTCTGACCAAAAATACTATTATCAAACTTGACTAACTAGTTTTGTTTTTTTTTTTTTTTTTAATCAGGCTTAGCTCCTGGTAAGGATGAGGAATCATCCAATCACTAAAACTAATCAAAACAGCATGGCTCTGGGTTCTGATTCCCAAAACATTTTGAACAATGCTAATGTGTTTAGACTAAGAAATACTTTCTGAAGTGTTTTCTTTTTTCATTAAGGTTTTGTTTGTAATTGACATATAATAATTGCACATACTTAGAGGGTACAGTGTGATGTTTCAACACATATATACTGATGTACATATATATAACAATACTTTGATATCACTGTGTAATGATATAATCAGAGTAATTAGCATATTTATCACCTCAAACATTTGTTATTTCTTTGAGATAAGAACATTCAAAATCCTTTCTTTTAGCGATTCTGAAGTATATAATGGTTGTGGACTATTGTCACTTTACTGTGCAGCAGAACACCAGAGCTTATTCCTCCTATCTAACTGTATTCTGTACCTGCTGACCAACCTCTACCTCTCCCCCTTGCTTCTGGTAACCACTGTTCTACTCTCTACTTCTATGAAATCAACTTTTTAAGATCCCACACGACTGAGATGATGTGATATTTGTCCCCTCACCCCATTTTTTTTGTCTTCCCATCAGATGGGTCATGTGCTGATGTTGTAACAAGATTTGAGGGAGGTATACCTCACAGAGGAACATGAAAACCCAGTCATTACACTTACGAACTACAAAAGGATTGCGCAGTATTTGTTCTTCTGTGTTTGGCTCATGTCATTTAACATGATGTCCTCTAGGTTCATCCATGTTGTTACAAATCATAGCACTTCATTCTTTTTAATGGTGGAACAATATTCCATTGGGTATATATACCACATTTTAAAAAATGCATTCATCCAGTGATGGGCACTTAGATTGATTCCCCATCTTGGCTACTGTGAACGGTGCTGCAATTAACACAAGAGTACAGACATCTCCTGGACATACTGATTTCATTTCCTTTGGATATACAATCGGTAGTTGAATTGCTGGATCATATGGTAGTTCCATTTTTAATTTCTTTGAGTAACCTCCACACTGTTGTCCATAATGGCAATACTAATTTACATTCCCACCAACAGTATATACAATTTCCCTTTCTCTACCACATTCTTGCCAGCATTTTTTCTTTGTCTTTTGATAACAGCCCTTCTAATTGGGGTGAGGTGATATCTCACGGCGATTTTGAATTGTATTTCTCTAATTATGAGTGATGTTGAATATTTTTTCAAATACCTGTTGGTCATCTGAATGTCTTCTTTTGAGAATTAAGTGATTTCTTTTAAGATGACATCATTAACCTACATTCTGATCTTATGTTGCAAGAAAAACTATAAGGCGGCCATGACACTTTATAGTCACACCTTGTAAATTGTGATGGAATACCCAATCTTACTCACTTTTTGGACAAGTAAAGAATGACTTATTTAAATGCGAACACCAAAAATGAAGAGACTAGTCTGGTTTTATTTATTTTTTTTTTTTATTTTTTTTTTTTTGAGATGGAGTCTCACTCTGTCGCCAGGCTGCAGTGCAGTGGCATGATCTTGGCTCACTGCAACCCCTGCCTCCCAGGGTCAAGTGATTCTCTTGCCTCAGCCCCCTGAGTAGCTGGGACTATAGGTGCTCCACTATGCCCAGCTAATTTTTTTGTATTTTTAATAGAGACGGGGTTTTACCATGTCGGCCAGGATGGTCTCAATCTCTTGACCTTGTGATCCACCTGCCTTGGGCTCCCAAAGTGCTGGGATTACAGGTGTCAACCACCATTCGTGGCCAGTTTTTTTTTTTTTTTTGGAGAAAAGATCTAATTATGGTGCCTAGGTTGGAGTGCAATGGCGCTATCACAGCTATTGCTGCAGCCTCAACCTCTTGGGCTCCAGCGATCCTTCCACCTCAGTCTCTGGAGTAGATGGGACTACAGGTGTATACAACCATACCAGGATAATTTTTGTTTTTTTGTAGAGATGAGGTCTCACTATGTTGCCCAGGCTGGTCCTGACCTTAAGTGATCCTCCTGCCTCAGCCTCTCAAAGTGCCAGGATTACAGGTGTGAGCTACTGTACTCAGCTAACTTCTGATCTTAACTAAAAACCTGAACAGGCATTGAATACAGATTACACTAGAGAAAAATTACTTACAATGTGTTCTGAGTTGACTTAAGTTCAATACAATGAAAGAAAGTCCACTGTAAGAATGCATGATCTACAACCATAAACCCTTTGGAAATAATGTAAATATCTTTGAACTGAAAATTTAAACTCTAAGTAAAGAGTTATCAAAATAAATATTTTAATAAAGACTGAGTTATTCTTTTCACTTTTAAGAACTCAACACTGGCTTAGGCACCGAACTTTTCGAACAAATTATGCTTTTAAAAGAAAGCCATGATTCCTATTTTCGGGTATTTTATTTCTTCTCCCATACTTAATAATTGCTTAACATTCATGGCATGATAAGCATTGTACAAATACAAAGAAAGTATATCTATCTATTAGCGAAGTGGAAATATCTGTATTATTTATTCCTAAAGTTTTAACATCAGAAATTACTTTAGAGACAGAGAAATCTGTCACTAAAAGTATTACGTAATGCCCTTCAAGTTGCCAGGGAAACATACCAAATTTAGAATATCTAAAAGTTAGCCTCTTGGAGTACTTCTATTGCCAGGCAAAATATTTATCATTCACTTTAAAATCAAGTATGCTTGGAGTCTGGCACAAATGTGGTTTGGATTCTACACATTTGCCATTTTAATTTCTATGTTATAAAAATATTGGAAAAACACTTACCTCTGCAATTGTCTCATCAGTTGATTCAAAGCTTCTTGAAGGGGTGTCTGTTCTACTTCTAAAGCAAAGAAAAAAGGAAAAGGGTGTTTTAAAAAGGAGTATTCTAGACAGTACTATTTACTAGATTATTTTTCTACAACCATTATTAGAGATCTCACACAGAAATTCCATTTATCTTAAAAATATACTGAAGTTTGAGAGTTATCAATTCAAAAATTGAAGCTAATTTACAGCTCCTATGCAGTATGAGAGAAAAAAAAACTTAAAAATTAAATCACAAAGCTCCAACTTAGAAGCTAAAACCCCACTACTTTCCTGAGCTATAACAATTTCAGCCTCCTCATTCAGGATAGTTAATTCACAGTTATTCCAACCTTCTTGTTTGGCTAAAGAGCTTGTGAGAGGCTTCTCAGGGGGCAAGTCTAATCTCACAGGGGCATGACACTGGAGGTCTTTTTCTGCGTCATTCTCCACACGGTCTTGATCTCGCTTCTTTTTATCCTCCTAAATGGAACAAACGGAGCTAATTTAGAAATATTTCAGAACCAGTATCTTTAAATACACAAATCATTTTAATTTTAAGGAGTAAAAAGACATTATTGCAAACAAAATATTCTTAATAACGAACTGAATGTATTTTACTGCCATCTACTGGAAAAGGAGAGCATGTATTCACAAAGGAAAAAAAAAGTGCATCTATGCCAGAAATAACCAGTCAGAAAAATAATACTATCCAAAAAAGCAACACAGTGTATGCAGGAATAAATCTAATAAAAGATACCCGAAACCTTTCGGGAAAAACTGTGAAACCTTACTGAAGGTCACAGTAGAAGACCTGAATAAAGGAGATATACCATGTTCATGAATTCAGAGAGTATTGGCAATCAAAACTTGACATGGAATTTTACAAGTCAATTGTATTAATTTACCACGAAGAGTGAACGATTAAGAACCGAATAGCTTTGAAAAAGGTCAGAATAAGATGATACGTCTTACCAGATATTATTTGCATAAAGTGATAATAAGACAATGTGGGACTGACACAGGGACGGACACAAAAAACAACAGAAGAGATCAGAGCCCAGAAACAGACCCATGTACACAGATTAATCTTAGTATATCACAGAGGTGACATTATAAGTAAATGACAAAAGGGTGGCACTGAGACAACTGGTTACCTGAAAAGAGAAAACAGAATTAGAGCTTTACTTCATGCCATACACAAAAGTCAATTCCAGATAAAGACTTAAATGTACAAAACAAAGCTTCAGAACTTCAAAGTAAAGCATCTTTAAGACCCAGGAGTAAACAACTTTCTTAAATAAGATACAAAAAGAATAAATCTTAAAGAAAAAACTTGATAAATTTGGTATTAAGTTGACAAATTTTGGTACCTCAACAAAATACATGAACCAAGTTAAAAATCTAGTAATAGACTGAGATAAAGTATTTGAAACACAACTTATAAAACATTAAGAAAGATTCCATGAAGAACATCAATAAATCTATGCAAAAAGGCAAAAAAATCCAAAAGGGGAAACAGGTGAGCGACATTACGGGTAGCTCACAGAATAAGAAACGTGAAATGTTGAGAACATGAGAACTAGCTCAAGCTCCCTAGAACTTGGGCAATTAGATTGTAAAATAAGAAGGTATTTCACCTCTCTTTGGCAAAATTGAAAATGTCTGAAAATGTCAAGTTTTGATAAAAATGTAGAGAAATGGGATTCTCACACCTTGCAACTGGGTGAATTAATAGGAACAATCCTTAGCAGAGAAATTAGCAATATGCAGCAAAGCTAGCAAAGACTTTATCCAGTTCTCAGCTACTACTCTCTGTGCATATACCAGAGAAATTTCCTGTCCTACAGTATACATGGAGACTTATATATTGCAGCATTGTTTCAAATAGTAAAAAATAGGAATAATCCAATGCCTATTAAAAGGCAAATGGGTTAATAAATTATGTCATATGAGCTAAAATTGTATCAACATGGATAACATTCAGAAACAATGTTGGAAAAAACATTGCAGAAGAATTACCTCTTACAAGGTAAGTATGAAAATGTGTAAGCTTTATGCAGAACTTGTAATTATAAAAACATGTATGTGACATGCACCAAATGCAGGGTAATGATTCTCTGTATTAAAAGGAAACAGAGAAATGGGACTCTGAAAAAGTACAAGGGGAATTTCATCTCTGTCTGCTCTCTCCTTAGGGAAAACACATACACACACAAAACTAAATGTTGAGATCTGCTAAAGCTGGATGGTTGGTATCAGATGGTAGTTTTATTATTCTGTGTATTCTGCATTTCTAAAATTTAGATTTTTGAAGTAAAATTGTCCAACAATGCCCATTTCAAGCTCATCAAAATCAAGATTCTCAAGAGGATCTTACAAACTCAGAAAGCTATTTTCTTGGCCTATGCCCTATTTTCTTATTCTAGTATCTAGAGCAGTGGTTCTCAAAGCATGGTCCCCAGACTGGCAGCCTCGGCATTACTTAGGATTTTGCAAGAAACAAAAATTCTGAGGTCCTCTTGTGGTTCTCAAGTTTTTGTGTGCATTAGAATCACCTGAAGGTCTCATTAAAAACACAGATGGTTGGGTTGTATCCCCAAAATTACTGATCCTGCAAGTATGGGGTAGAGCCTGAGAATCTGTACTTTCTAACAAGTTTCCAGGCCATGTGGGTGTTATTGGTACAGGGACCACACTTTGAGAATCACTGATCTAGAGCTTTGCACTGTATTTTCGGAATCCAAAGCACCTAATACAGAATATATTATTGTTTTAAAAGCTCCAGAGAACAGTGTTATAAACTCTACTCACGCACTTGATCCCAGTTACCACTGTTAGTTGATTAATGTATTTTTTCCCACCTTACAACATATTCTGTTGCAGTA